GCCCCATAGTCCCTTTCTTGTATTTTGTTGTATTTTGGTTATTAAGATTGTACTAGTCACGAAATAAATTGGGAAGCTTTCTGACATTTTTTGTGCTTATAATGGTTTAAGTAACAGGAATTATCTGTTCCATAAGGTTTCTCCCTAAAATAACCTCCTTCCCTATATTAGTCCATTTTCTGTTGCCTATAACAGAATACCTGAAACTGAGTAATTTATAAAGAAATGAAATTTATTTCTTAAAATTTTGGAGGCTAAGGAATCCAATATACAGGGGACGCATCTGGACAGGGCCACCTTCTTGGTGGGAACTCTCTACAGGGTCCTGTAGCAATGTAGGTAATCACATTGTGAGAACGGCTAGAGCCCTTTAATGTGCTCACTCGCTTGCCTTATAAAGCCATGAGTGCCATTCCTGTGACAGCCCACTAAACCATTAGCCCCTTACTCCATGAAGGCATAGTTGTCACAATCCAATCACTTTCAACATTGCTGTAGTCTGATTTCCCACCCTTTTAGTACTATTATTATGGGGATCAGACTTCAGTAAGTTTGGGGAGACATTCAGTCCACAGCATTCTACCCCTGGACCCCGAAAACTCATGTCCTTCTCACATACAGACACATTCATTTCATTCTCTTAGCCCCCCAGTCTTAACTTGTCCCAGCACCAACTCAAAAAGTCCAGAGTCTCATCTGTGAAATTAAAACAAGTTATCTACTTCCAAGATACAATTGGGAGGACAGGCATAAGACAAATTCTCATTCCAAAACGGAGAAATGAAAGGAAGGGGTAATAGTTCCTAAGCATGAAACCCAGCAGAGCAGGCAATAAATCTTAAAGCTGGAGAATAATCTTTACCCGTAACTCCATGTCTGGCATCCTCTGCACACTGGTGTGGAGGTTGGGCCTCCAAGTCCTCAGGCAGTCCCGCTCCCACAGTGTTCCTGGACTCAGGCCACACTTCAGCTCTCCCAGGCTGGCATTGCCCACTGATAGCTCTATAGTTCTGGGGTCTCGGTGGCTATCCTGCTCCCACAGCTTCATTTTCCAATAGGCTCTTTCTCATATCTATTTGAGACCTCTTCAGAATGGCCTTTACGCTCCCTCACCCCACCAAGTCATTATCATGTTTTCCTTTATTTTCTTAGGAGACTTAAGTAGTATATACTCTTAAAATTGTTTTATTTATATAGGGGACTTCAGAAAGTTCACGGAAAAATAGAATTAAAAGATATAATATGAATCTTTCCATGAACTTTTTAAAGTACCCTCATATATTTAAATTGATCACTTACAGTGGTCTCCCTCCATTAGAATGTAAGCTCCATGAAAATCAGAGACTTCATCTGTATTGTTTATCAGTGTGCTCCTAGCATCTAGAACATAATAGGCACTCAGTAAATATTTGTTGAATTAATAAAAGTTTAAAACTGAGCAAAAAGTCTGGGTATACACTTAGGTATTAAATAATATTGATTTAATGTAAGCTCCTTGAAAATCAGAGACTTCATCTGTATTGTTTATCAGTGTGCTCCTAGCATCTAGAACATAATAGGCACTCAGTAAATATTTGTTGAATTAAAAAAAGTTTAAAACTGAGCAAAAAGTCTGGGTATACACTTAGGTATTAAATAATATTGATTTATGTCAGAATGAATATTGATAAAATCACAACTATTGAAAATATCCTGGGGTTAACTAGCTTCATTGTTCAATTCATGCTAAACTTTTTATTTTTTGCAGGTGATCAGAGGACTGCTGAAATTTTGGCCAAAAACATGTAGTCAGAAAGAGGTGAGTTTTGTTCACTAAAAGGAGTACATTTGGGCAGGCTGGTTAGTAGCTCAGTTGATTAGAGCACGGTGCTGATAAATGTAGTGCATTTTATTATAATTTCTCAACCCCAGAGTTATAAACCATGCCTCTTCAGACTGGTTGTATTGCTGCTGCTACAGAGTGGGAGATGTAAGGAGATTTGGTAGAATAGCTGTGCATTATAGTAAATTTTACCATTCAGATCTTTTTTTTTTTTTTTGCCTACTGTATAATTTTCAGATTAAACTTCTCATTTGTATGGTTTCTATATTAACATCATATAATTTGTCATATTATGCTTCTTAAAAGAAAATTTTTTTAACCTAGGTGATGTTTTTAGGAGAAATTGAAGAAATCTTAGATGTCATTGAACCAACACAGTTCAAAAAAATTGAAGAGCCACTTTTTAAGCAGATATCCAAATGTGTTTCCAGTTCTCATTTCCAGGTATGATGTTTTCAATGAAGCTGTTCATATTTTATACTATTATTACTTTTCTCTTGGTTTTGACATTTCTAAATGTCTTTTTTAGGTTGCAGAAAGAGCATTGTACTTCTGGAATAATGAATATATCCTTAGCTTGATTGAGGAGAATATTGATAAAATTCTGCCAATTATGTTTGCCAGTTTGTACAAAATTTCCAAAGAACACTGGAATCCGTAAGTATCTTTGATGTTAGTCATGTTTTTTCTTGTGTTTTTCTTTTAACCTTTTTGTCATTTGATTTTCTAACTCATACATGAAACCTATACAGATTTGGAACTTATTTTAGGGTTAACATGACATAGTGTTATTCTGTTCTGTATTTTATATACATATAGCTTCATAAAGTTGTAAATGTATGTGTCTGTATGTCCTTTAAATATATGGTCTTAATTTCAATTGTAAATTGTAAATTTCCCTAGAGGTAGGACTATCTGATCTAATATTCCGCACCATTGTGTGGAGAGACCAGCTGAACATCTGCAGAGAATGCAGACTACTGTATTAACGCAGAGTTGGGTTGATCTGCTCCCGGTATACAGTCAGTCTCACTTCTGCAGATAGCACTGTCCCTGGGAAAAACTGAAGTGCTAAGGTCATAGTGATATTCAGAATGCATATATTCTAACTTCTGTAACATCCTTATCCAGCCTTCTGCTTTTATTCTTACAACTAATGGTAAACCAGACATTTTTAGCTAGAGTTTAATTTAAGCATGATAAAATAGGGAGGATATAAGTTTTGGAGTCAGACCATCTCTACCACCACTGACTGTGTGACCTTGAGCAAATTACAAACCTCTTGAACCTCAGTTTTATCGTCTCTAAAATGGATTAAATGAATCTGCCAACATTTAACTCGTTTTACAAGTAATAGTATTACATTTCCTATGTGTTAGCAGCATCAGTAACCTAGTACTGGCTCGTTTTCATTTCAGGACCATTGTAGCATTGGTATACAATGTGCTGAAAACCCTAATGGAAATGAATGGCAAGCTTTTTGATGACCTTACTAGCTCATACAAAGCTGAAAGACAGAGGTATTTGATATTTTAAATTACAACATTATTTATACATTTTAGGTTACTTGAAAGTGATTTAGTTCAGTCAGGTATCTTCTCTAAGTTAAAATTACCTAAGAAGTTAATTTTATTACATTAAGCATTACAATTTGAAAGTCTCTAAACACTTCAATCATTTCCAGATAAACTAGCCCCAATATTTTTATACAATTTGTTAAGCAGAAAAAGCAGTGACATTTGTTATTTAAGGTTGTTATATAATTTACTTCCCCTAATGGTTAGATTATGATTTTAATGTGGATCATAAATCCTGTTTATTCTGTTTAGCCTTAGATTTCATCAGCCTGGACGCATTTGCATTGTGAAATATAATTTATGCTGAACTTTAAATACCAATTTAAACAATTTGATTTCTTCTTATACTTATGAAAGCCATGTCCACATGGGCTTCCATAGTGAGCTTTACTCTTCAACTGTTCCTTACATAGTAGTTTGATAGTTTGTACATTGTGAATTGTCAGAAGGTGGTATTATCAGCACAGTTCTGCTTTGGGAAGAGGGAACTCACATGATGATATGCTTAAGGCTCAGGGTACTATTCATATGTTGTTCCCTGCAATAATGTATCTTTTAGAAAATAAGTGATAGCACATATCAGCCTTTAGGAACATGGTTTAGTGATTACCTTTTTGAGAACTTCATAAATTACTGTATAAAAATCTTTTAAAAATCAATTCCTTCTCATATATTTATTTCATACTTAAGAAGATGGGCAGTAACCACTGTACCTGAGCCCACCCATCATTTGAAGATAATAGCTGCCATTTACTTTTTTTTTTTTTTTTTTCCCCTGCGGCTGTTTGGTGCAGAGATCTGAATCAAAGTATATTGCCCATTATCTTTAGAAAAGCTAATCTATTTTGTTTGACTACATGTTCCTAGTCATGGTTTTCTTGTGTCAAGTAGAAAAAGGATAGCCCTTCTTCAGGGGCATCGTAGCCCTTCTTCAGGGGCATCGTAGCCCATCAATAACTAACTCTATACATTATTTCTTTTAAATAGCAGCATTCAGGCAAGAGGAGAAATTAGGTACATGATTTGAGCCCTATGAAGCAATGAGAAGGAAGATGACTAGGATCCTATGAAACTTATATTTGTAAAATGTATTTCATGTGACTAAGAAAAATCATTATTTCTTACTATCTGCATAAATCAGCAAATCCTTTAAAAGGATTTGTCCTTTAAAATTATATATAACCACAGAAACACAGGCCAACATTTTATTATATTCATATAGCTTTTCAGAATAGTTTGGTCCAAGTTATATAGAAATGTTTTCCTTAGAATCAAAATTATTTGAAAAACATATAAAACATTATGATTTTTGTTTGAGAGAGATTATTCAAACTTTAAAGTTTTCATTGACATGTAAGAGAGGAAATGGGTACAAAAGGAAGTGGCTTCTTTGTGAGGTGGTGAAGGGAAGGGCTGCAGAGTGACCTAGTGGCCAGCCCCTCCGGTCTTTCTGTCTAGAACACATGACTACTGCAAGAAGTTTACTTGAGAAAATTAGTGTAAAGGTACTCTGTCAACTACAAAGCAGTGTTGCTGTGGTGGTGGAAATATGTAGGGAAGGGAAAGCAAGTAGAAACTTGCAGTTGGTACAGAAGATATTCAGACTTAGCAGATACATTCAGGAGAGTGACAAGGAGAAACTGGGGGCTCCGGGTAATTAGACTACAATGCTTAGCAGAGGAATTTCAGTGAAACATGAGTGAACAGTATGTTCTCCAGTGCACTGCCAAACAGCACCTTTCTTCACGTTCTGAAATCAAAATTTCTGATAAAATTTTTTGATTTCTCTACAGAGAGAAAAAGAAGGAATTGGAACGTGAAGAATTATGGAAAAAACTAGAGGAGCTAAAGCTAAAGAAAGCTCTAGAAAAACAGAACAGTGCTTACAACATGCACAGTATTCTCAGCAATACAAGTGCCGAATAAAAAAAAGCCTACCGCCTTTGCTGGATAGGCAGTTTTGTACACTTTTTGAAATATGTAAAAATTGCAAAACAAACCTCATCAGTATAATTAAAAGGCCAATTTTTTTCCTGGCAACTGTAAATGAAAAAAATATATGGACTAAACATAGCCCTGTGCTGTATCATGGCCACAGTATATTGTAACCTTTGTCTAATCGTTGATTTATTGTGTCACTTCTGAAGTTTCACAAAAATGAATGAATTTTATCATCTATGAGTGAGATAATTATGGGAGTGGTAAGAATTATGACTTGAACTCTTTTTTGATTGTGTTGCACATAGACATAGTCCGCTCTGTATATTTTTCCCTTTTATAATGTGCTTTTCACATTGCTGCAGACCTTAGTTACATCCTAGGAAAAAGAATACTTCCTGAAACAAAACTAAGGTATCCCTATTCTTTTCTGTCTGTCTCTCCCAGAAATATGATGGGAATTATCTATCCGAAGCCCTCCCTCAATAAAGATATTACTTTACTTTGGAATTTGAGTAAAACCTTAAGTCTCCAGGCTTTTTAAAGCACAAAATATAAATAAAAGCTGGGAAAGTAAACCACAATTCTTCACATTGTTCCTCATGAATATCCCCTTTCATCTGCAACTCCCCAGAGTGATGAACACAGATCGATAGAGGCAGCTCAGGTGAACACCTTGCTCGCCTCTCAATTCATTCCTCCTCCTCTTGAAGGCTGAAAGCAGGGCCTTTCCAGTCCTCACAACCTGCCATTCCCCGAGTCCCTCCTGACCCAGGGATGAAGCTTTGAGTACCACAGTGTGGTGATGCAGAGCGCTAGTTGTCACTGCCTGGCTTTATTTAAAGAAATGCTTCCTCTGTAGAGTTCTGGGAAAGTTGACTATATGGAGGTCCTATATGTTTTTACTTGGTCAAGTATTCCTCACATCTTTTGTTACCAGAGTACCATTCCAATCTCTTAACTTGCAGTTGTGTGGGAAACTTTTGTAATGATAGATCTTCACTGGGGATTGAGCAGCATTTAATAAAGTCTATGTTTGTATTTTGCCTTATGTCCTCTTTGTGGTTTTTTTTTAGTTCTTAAGCTAAGGCATCCAGGAAAAGCCTGCCCCTCCCACCCCCTTTATATACACACACAATACATATGAATATTTACAGATGTTTTAAAGACAAATTGTGGGATGTATTCTTAAAAATATGAAGATTATATACCAGGATTGGGTGTTCCAGCCATTTACCAAAGTGTATCTGTTTTATAGAATATTTGCATAAAATTTTAAGTTCTAGGCCATCCTTCCATCATGTCCCTGTATGTTCAGAGGATAGGTTTAACTTACTTTAAAGCTAGTTTTAATTAAAATAGACCCAGAAAGATAAATCTCATAATCTATAATAAATAATAGCACTTTTTGTGAAAGGCAGAGAGATTGTGGCAGAGTTAGAAGTCAGACACCACAAAGTGTTTTTACCTACTGGTACTTACTTCCACTTTAACAGTTAAAAACTCTTGCACAGGTTCTGCACATTACTCCCAGGTCATCACAAAAGCAATGCCTTTCACGTTCTGTGGCCCCAGAAGAAACCCTTCCTTTTGGTACAACGGCTCATATTTTACAACATTTTCCAGTAGCAGGTATTGCAGAGCCACCTTGTCAGCTAGATTCTCTTCACTAACCCAAGGCCAGCCAGTATTATTAGCAGCTGGGGATAGCACAGTTAAAAGGACGATCCTATTACAAAACAACATGAGAAGGCAAGCCCCTGCCTTTCCAGAAAGTGAAGGTTAGGTCTAAATGTCTATTTTGTAGAAGGCTTAGATATACATTTCTTCCACTGAAAAACAGCCAGAGTGGATTTTGACAGATTGCAGCTAGTAGTTTTTTTTTTCTTCAAATAGATAAAAATGTTCGCTTCCTAATAAGCTACTTACTCTAAAGCACATTTAATAGGTGTCTCAACTTCTCATAATATAGGAAATATACTTTCAGTTATATTCATTGAAGCAAATTTTCTTAGACATGTAAATCACATTAAAGTGATGTTGTCCTCTTGAGAGTTGCATGAAAAACTACACACACGTTTTTCAGTAGTGGTAATGTAAGCTTTTATGCCTGGTTTTTAATTTGCCCTAGATTAAAATTTGAATTCCCATGCTTCTGTGGAGCAGAAAAGTAGCAGGGAATATGTTACACAAGTTCACTTCTAATAATTCAACGAAAAAAGCTTCTTGCTGAATTAGACACAAGACAAATGCCCTACTCATACATGTGAGTTGGTCTCTTTGGATTATCTAAAGCCAGACTACAAAATTCAGGAATTACTCAAGTCACCTTTGGATGCTACAGGCATGTAAATAATTTGAAATTCTTGAAACAAATTTTATAACCTTAAATCCATAAATGTGAAAAATACAAAGATGGTTTATTACAGTACTCATCTCTGTTAAAGGCTAGGCTGAAAGCTTTGAGCATCGTTCTCAGTGCCCCTTTCTCAGACGGGTGGTTTTGTAGGACACAGTGAAGAGTTAACACAGCTTATACATGGGCCGTGACATGTCACTCTTCCTGGCCACACGCCATCAATTGCCATGCCCAACGACCTTTCCCTGGAAATAATTATGACGTACCTCGGGAGTTGGATCCATCCATCTTGGGAGTCCAGACTCAGGTTACCTTTTGTTTTTGGATGTCACAGAATGAGAGAGTATCAGTGCCGGTTGATTTAGCAGATATTCATACTGGCACACTCATTCCTTTTGTATTAATCTTTTATTTACCTGTTAATGAAATCATCAAAATACACTGAGGAGGCACCTGCTAAATACATCTGTCCTAATCCTTTTGAGTGTTAATCACTCTAAATTCATACCTGCATCAACGAATATTCTAGCCAGACAAGAGGCAAGTCAGTCCATAAGAAATAATTAATAGTTTCTATTAGTTTTAAAGTCTCATTTAACAAATGAGACTTTATCAGAGAGAGGCTGGACAACATAGATGGCAGATGATGCCAAAGTCAAAAGGGGTTTTGCCTTTCCTTGTGTACGGTGCACAGAGGTTCCTTAGCATGACCTGTACGTCTTGATATGATTTTTGGAAAAAGAAAATCACTCTTCTACTTTAAAAATCTAAGGGAAAAACCTAAGGTAAAAAGTAGAGCCATAATTATCCTTTCAGAGCTTAACTATACAATGAACCAAACAAAGGCATCTTCCACAAACCCTATTCATAAGTCATTGAACAGCTCTTTAAAATGTTCATTAATAATTTAAATAAATAACTTCGGTTATCCGTTGGATCTTTTCCATTAGGTTCTAAACAGCGTCTTCTTAGGCCAAGTTAAAAGTTCCAGTTTGACAAGCTGTTCTCCCAGCAAGGCCCATCTCTTAAGTGACTACAGGACTGCTGCTTAGCTCGGTTTATTAAAGTGGAAGTGATGAGAACTTCCATTAACGCGGGCAGTTCCATGAACAATGCAAGGCGACTTTAGCTTATGTGGTTCGTTGCCTGGCCTCTTCTTTTAAGGTATCTCTTCCTAATTTTAATCATCCATTTCACACTCAGTTTGGCAAACTCTGCTGCTTTAAATAATGCCAAGAAGGCCCCACAGAGAAGAGCGATTGTGTTCCAAGGATTGGCAGTGATTATCTATGAAAAGACAAACAAACACGGGATGATTGGTTTGCCTCAATCTTGGTTCTTAAGTCATACTAGTGTTATTGTCAAGAGCCCCTCCCAAATTACTGGGGATACAAGAGAAACACCTGGGCTCTGAAATTGTCCTAACTCCATACTTCATTCAGAGTCTGCCCTTAATGTCCATAGCTCAATGAGGAGAAAAATACTAAACCCTCCGCATAATAAAGAAATTCTGGAAGAAAAAAAAAATCATTTTTCAAGAAAGCTCTGCACAAATAAAATATTCATTATTAAACTTTAATTTTGTGGCCTAATCCAACAGTAAGTGACAAATTTCCCTAAAGCTATACCTGATCTGGAAGGTCAGTTTCCCTCATTTTCTTCCCATCTCACAGTTACTCCAGTCTCAAACTCTTCCTTCTCTCTAGTGCAGCGACAGCCTTTCCCCCCAAACTCACCTCACCCTTTCCTACCTGCAGTTCAGCTCCTCTTACTTCCCCTGCCTATGATGCTTTCCTCCTAGCCAGGTTTACTAATCCTTCAAAGTCTCAAAGCTTTCTCTGACCACTAAGCCAAAACCCTCTCTGGATTTCAGCACAGCTATTTACCCTACAAACTCCTTTGACAGTTAATTATTGTCTGGAATTAGTAATTTAAAGCAACAGATAGCTCCCCACTAAATTGTATACTCTTTAAGGCAAAGGACTTATCTTGGATTTCTGAATTCCCCAGCGTTGTGAAAATAAAACACTTTTAAGCCCAGCTTAGACAATACGAGCCTCAGTGTTCACATAAAAAATGGTTATGCCACCATTCACGACTGTTATGAAGCGAGTGACCACGCAAGTAAAGCATGACTTGAGCATGGGGCTCTACTTGGCCCATAATAGGTACTTCATACTGAACGTAATAGGTTAAAAAACGTAGAGCATGTTTTACATGTACAGCTGAAAGCTGTTCTTCCACCCAGTCTTCATTCTAAGCCTGTGCACACACCTCTTCACACAAAGCCTTGCCAATCCATAATTAACAGCGGTGGTGGGTGATAACAGAGCACATCTGTAGCACAGAATCCCTACCTGGGTTGGAAGTTTATGTGTTTGAGTCAGCTATGAAATATCTTCCCTAAGCCATGACCATGTCAGGACATTTTGTGATGATCTGAATGCCAGTCAATATTAGATTTGATACTGGTTCTGGTGGATGGTCTGTCATGAACGTTCTTTTAGCAAAGATGTCCAACTATTCCTCCCCTTTCAAGACTGTGAGTCTAAGAATTTGGCATTTATTGATGCTCTGTTAATTATTTATTTGTACCTTTCTGCTCTAACTTACCCCAAATAGTAAGTACTTATCCTACAGAGAACCATTAAAAAAGAATGACTTCCAGTAGCAATAACCCATAGTAACTGAATGCCTTCTACTCAATTTATTCAGCGTTACTACCAAGCAGCTACTCTGTGCTAAGCACTCAGCTAGATACCAGATGATGGTAGTGAACAAGATGACAAAGTCCCCACCTTCAGAGGGACAAAAGCTTAGTGATGAAGACTAAACACAAATTATATATAACATCAGTGTCCTAAATGTGCACTGCAAACTGACTTGCACTATGGAGGAAGATGAGGACAGCAAGGATGAGCCACGGTGCTGCAGGGCAAGGAGTTTGTGCTCATGATCTTAATAATACTCACATCTTGGACTTTCTGGATGAAAGGATCTTTCCATTCAAATACCACAAAAAACAACTGAGCACTTTTTTCTGCGGCTGGTCTCTGGTCAATGTAGTTAACCACACTTGTCTAGGCATGGAAGAGAGAAACAGTGTTACCACATCTGTGCACCCCTCCCTTGTCTGGGTCTCGGGAAAGAGTGAGCAGGCAGGGAATCTGAAACCCGGGCTCTCTGCACACCATCTTTTGGAAAGAGCAAGGGAAAAATCTCATAAACACAAAATCCTGAAACTGGTACCAGACCCAAGGCTTTCCCTTGGTTTCCATAGTTCTTTGGGGAAATGGACAGGGTCTGTGATGTGTAATAGGTATTTTGGATTGTCACCAAAATCTGTCATTTTCTGTCAAAATATGTCAATCTGTCATTAGGCATCTGTACTCACAAACCATATTCAAACTACCATGTAAGATTTATACTCAAAAGCAATAAAAATCCCAAATTTCAAAATACTTGATCTTATGTGCTGTATCCAGCTGTATAAAGTACAGCCTCACAGATCCACACAGCTGAGCACTCCCCATAAATGGTTAGTAGGCCTGCCTGGGAAGACCTGGTGATTGATTACTGAGGCGGCGTGGTGTAATGGAGAAAACGGTTCCAGAGGCAGAGGCCCTGCTCCAGCCTCAGCCCTGCACCCGAGAAACGGAACAAGATGCCTGCCTTGCTGCAGCATGGTGAGG